TCTCCTCTAATTTGGCTTGGGATGCTTTGAAGGAGAGGGTACCATACTCAGTTTTTCTCGGGGGTGATAGGCCAAAAAGTCTATTTATGGCCTTAGCCGAAAAACTGACCTTAACACCCCTCACTCTGAGTTTGGTGGTACTAAAAACACAAGCCTCCGCATAAAATTCTTTTATCAATGTCAAATTAAAAGAATTCTTTACCTCACACAATGCTTGCCAACCGTGCTTGTCAATGACTTCCCTTATAAAACCAAATTCCTCGACGCTCCTTTGATCAAATCCCTTATCGGGCAACACCTTCTTGTTCCTAAACTTGTCAAACATTTCTCGCGCCTTGTCTGAACTGAATCCATCAAAAGGCATCTGGGGCCTCGTAATGGTTTTGGGCTTGGGCTTGGACTTTACCCCAGATGGACCTGCTGTCTCGGACTGTATTGAGGATCCCTTTCGGGATGACTTACGTGGTGCAAAGGCCGTGTGCCGTAAGTGAACAGAAGGTGCAGGAGTATGTTTTGCTCGTTTTCTTGGAGGCTGTACTACTTTGGATTTAGTTGCAAACACTCTCCCTAGCCCTTTTTTTTGTGGGTATAGGTGTCATACCCCTAAGATCAGCTTCTAAGTCCATCCCAATTGTAGGGGACTTAGTGGGTTCTTCAACAGATTGTGTATCAATATCAAACTCAAAAGAGTCTTCAACAGGTTGTGCATAGTGGTCAATGGCAACAGATTCATCCTCAACAGGTGGTGTACTATGATCAAACTCACTATGTTCCTCAAAAGTGTGGGGAGCAGAATCGGTCACAACTGTGGGTTCAGGCAAGTGGGTGCAAGGGTGATCATACCAAGTCAAAAGATAGACTTTTGTCTCATTCAAATCAGTAGGTGATGGTGTTGAAATGTTCATGAAATCTTCTTCCTCCTTAGAGGAGTCAGAGGTTGTAAGTCCCTCTACCAACAAATTAGGGCTGAAATTAAGATTTACCTCAAGACCCAATCTAGGGTTTGCAATCGCTGGTGCGGTTGCAGGAATGGTGTCGGCGACAGTAAGTGGAGAGAGTGAAGGTTCGTCGACGGTTGGCAGAATTCGGCCGTGGGTTATGGAGGAGACGGTGGTCGTCTTGTTGTGCGCTTAGCCCTAGGCGAAGAATTGGCGATGAGGGGTGTGACCGACCGTGGTCTAGGCGGCGATGGTGAAGAGGGCGAAGACTCTGACGGGCTGTTGGCGACGAGGTCCACCCATTCGGGCTCGTTCGTCAGTCGCAAAGCAGAGGTAGCGGCTCGCCGGCGATTGCTCCTTCGTACCGGCGGTGGGGGTGGGTCACGGATGACGGGCTTATTTGAACGAGCCATGATTTTGTATTAGAATAGTAGTGTAGGCTTATGAAGAGAGAAATGTAGGAATGAGATGTGATTGAGGGCTTTGTTGAAGTGATTGAGCCGGTGAGTGAGAGGCCGACAACGGTGATGAGAGGCGATGGTGATGATGTTTCTTGGGAAGATGGAGTGTCTCTTCTCAATTAAGTCCCCATCTTTTTCTTTTGAAAAAAAAAATTGACGGTTGAGTCAAGAACTGGTGAATAAAACGGTTATATGGAGGTTAAGAAAACATATCATTATGGAGGGAGTGGGTGGTGCTTGCATGGGAGACAAAAATTGAAAAGAATAGGCTGACAAAAATTATTTTCTGATTTTGCCAGGCTGCTGCTGATGTCACTGTACTTCCTTTGATTTTCTCAAAATTTTCACCTAACTTCACATGTGAAATCTGGACAGGAATGCTACAGCATCAGTAAAGCATCAGCTTTTCTCACAACTTTTTCAAAATTATCCTGCACATTAACAAACTAATAAAACATAATTGTTCTAATATATAGATATAAAAAAAGGAAACATATTTACAAACATCACTGGACTTGAAAAAGTCCAAAAACACATTCATTTAAGGTGTAGCCCAATTCTCAGAGCAATGCTCTGGGAATGCTACAGTATCATGAAATACCTTAACTCGCTGCCCATTTACTTTAAACACCGTGTTGTCCTCCGGGTTAACGAGGTCAACCGCTCCATAAGGGTAAACTTTATGAATGACAAAGGGTCCGGACCACCTAGACTTGAGCTTTCCCAGGAATAGTTTCAACCTAGAGTTAAATAAGAGAACCTTTTGCCCTTCTTTCAACTCCCGGTGATGGATTCTATTATCATGCCACCTTTTCGTCTTTTCCTTATAAAGTTTGGCGTTTTCATAAGACATTTGTCTTTGTTCTTCCATTTCACAAAGTTGAAACTTTCTTTTCTTTCCGGCTTCATCCAAAGACATATTGAGCTCTTTGATCGCCCAATATGCTTTGTGCTCAAGTTCTAGAGGTAGATGACAGGCTTTTCCGTAGACTAGCTTATATGGAGACATACCAATTGGTGTTTTAAAAGCGGTTCTGTATGCCCATAAAGCATCGTCTAATTTGAATGCCCAATCCTTCCTGTTGGGTTTGACCACTTTTTCCAAGATGCTTTTGATTTCCCTATTGGACAGTTCTGCTAAACCATTAGTCTGTGGGTGATAAGCCGTGGCAATTCTATGGTTAATGTTGTCTTTTTCAAGGACTCCTTTTAACTAATTGTTCACAAAGTGGGTACCCTCGTCACTAATTAGTGTCCTTGGGGTACCGAACCGTGTGAAAATATGTTTTTGGAGGAATTTAACCACAGTTTTTGCGTCATTTGACACACATGCCATAGCCTCCACCCATTTGGATATGTAGTCAACAGCCACAGGTATGTATTGGCAATTATTTGATGGATGGAAAGGACCCATGAAGTCTATTCCCCAAACATCAAATAATTCAACTTCGAGTATCCCATTTAATGGCATTTCATTCCTTTTGGAAATGGAGCCACTCCTTTGACATTCGTTGCACCTTTGTGCAAAATTGTAGGAATCTTTAAAAATGGTTGGCCAATAAAAACCGGACTGTAGAACTTTGGTTGCAGTCCTTTGGCCTCCAAAATGGCCTCCATATGGTGCATGATGGCAATGATGTAGGATTGCTGCCACTTCAGATTCAGGTACGCATCTTCTTAGAATCTAATCTGCACCAAGTCTAAAAAAAATGGTTCATCTCAAAGATAAGATTTAGCATCATGAAAGAATTTTTTTCAACATGTGGCTTGTGTAATCAGAAGGTTTTATGCCACAGGCCAAGAAATTAGCTAAATCAGCAAACCATGGTGTTTTTGGTTGGTCAATCAAGAGGATTCTTTCATCTGGAAAAGTATCACTAATTTCCATTCCTACTTTCTCGGGTTCTTCCAACCTAGACAAATAGTCCGCTACTTGATTCTCAACTCCCTTCCTATCTAGTATCTCTAAGTCAAATTCTTGCAATAAAAGCACCCATCTTATTAACCTAGGTTTTGCATCTTTCTTTGAGATTAGGTACTTGATGGCTGAGTGATCGGTATGCACAATGACTTTTGTTCCCATCAAGTAGGACCTAAATCTCTCAAAC